TCGCCGAGATCTGCGTGAGTGCGGGGGCGGAGGCGGGGGCGGCGGTGCCAGGCCAGCGGGGCTCGTGTCTGGCTGCCTTTTCTAAAAAAACATGTTTTTATTGATTTCAGAGAGGAAGGGAGAGGGAGAGAAACATCAGTGATGAGAGAGAATCATTGACCGGCTGCCTCCTGCGCGCCCCCTACTGGGGTCATGCCCACAACCCGGCGGGTGCCCTGACCTGGTTCATAGGTCAACGCTCAACCAGTGAGCCACACTGGCCAGGCTCTGGCTACTTCTTTCCCAGCTCCCTGCCCTACTGAGAGCAGGAGGTGGGCCCCACACCCAGGCCCAGCGACCCCTGTGAGCAGGAGATGGGCCCCACATTCAGGCCCAGGGCCCCCGTTGCAGGAGGTGGGGTACCAGCACGGCCGGACGGTGTTTGACATTTGGAGGCGCAGTGGGGTGCTGGAGAAGATGCTGCAGGACCGGCAGGGCACGAGCAAGATGAAGGCCTTCAACGTGAGTGCCCACGGACACCCTCTGCCTTCCCTCTTCTGCGACCTGCCCCCGCCCATGCACCTGCGATAGGTGCCCTGCAGCCAGCAGCACCCCAGAGCACCCCTCAGCTGCTCGTGCTGCGACGCCCCTGTGGGCCAGCATAGTCGAAGGCAGCAGGCCTGGGAGCTGTCTCCCAGTCTCTCTGCCCCCTGCCCCCTGCCCCCTGCCTTTCCACCCCTTCCAAGAGAATGGGGGTCTGCGCAGGACTCTGCCCATCTTTCACGCCCCTGCCCCCACTCCAGGCTGGGGGTCCTCAGCTAGCCAGGGTCCCGGGGGTGACAGGGCACAGGGCGGGCCTTGGGCCTGGCTGGGCAGGCGGCTGTGCTGGGGACACGGGGAGCAGGGCCTGGCCTGGGGGTGTCCTCCTCGCCCCGCAGGTCCTCACCTGCCCCAACGCCTCCTTCACGGACCTCGCTGAGATCGTGTCGCGCATCGAGCCCGCCAAAGTGGCCGTCGTGGATGGTGAGTGGACACCCAGGAAAGGCACCCACACGGCCAGGGCGCTGGGAGCCGCGTCCCTTCCACACCTGACACGGACCAGGGGCCCTGGACCTGGCTGGCTGTGGGCGGGGCCTGTGCCCTCGGAGGGAACCAACATGGCCCACCCCTCTGCCCAGACGAGTCTGACTACCTCACCGAGTGCGAGGAGGGCTCGCCCGATGGCCCCCAGGAGGCCTACGCGGACTTCCAGAGCTCCCCGGCCGACGGAGGCTCCGACTCGGTGAGCTGCCTGGACCCGCCTGGCCCCTCGCCCACACCTGCTCTGAGGCCCAAGGGCAGGGGCGCCCTCAGGGTGAGCCCTCCCCTATCCCCACCCCGACTGTGACTGCGGTCTGCTTCCAGGAGGAGGAGCCCTCGCTGCATCACCAGCACCCCAGTGTGGCTTCCCCCAAACCCTCCGCGGATGCCGATGCCGCGCCCCCCTGGTTCTCTGGCCAGGACGGGCAGAGGCCTCCCTCCGACGCTCCCTGAAGCCAGCGCCTCCGTGACCTGTCCTGGAGCCCGCGGCTCCCGGGGCAGGAGACCTGGCTGGGCCCGGGCTGTGCTGGGTGTCAGGCCTCTACACTGGCTGCTCCTGGGTGCGCTTGGTCCTGGTGCCTCCTGCACACACCGCAGCCCTCTGGGTGCAAGCCCCGCCCCCCAGAGGTGTTGGAGCCTCTGAGCCCTGATGCTTCTGCTTAGGCGTGAATAAAGGAGATCTGATCGTGTGGGCGTGTCGTCCTTGCGCCCGGTCCAGGGAGCAGCTGCCCCGCTGTGGGCCGCAGTGGGGCTGCGGGCGGACATCGCCTGCCCTCCCCAGGGTCGCCCTGTGGGACCCTGGACCAGACCCCCTCTGCTGGGACTTGAAACTCCTGGGCCACAGTCCAGGCCAAGCCGGGCGGGTGCCCAGGACCTGGGGTCCCCAAAGCAAGGAGGAGCCTCGGGGGCTTCAGGCATCGTTCCCACTGGGGCACGCGGACGCTCCGGAGAGAGGGAGGCCCGCACTTCTTTTCCGGGTCATCGAGCAGCGCCCGGAAGAACTGCCACGGACCCGGGCCAGCGCGGGGGGCGGGGGGGAGGCCCT